GAAAAACCTTGCCCCTAAACCTTCCAGATTTTGTTCTGATGGACGTGACACACTGATGTGAGCAAGGACTTGGCTTCACAGTGAGGTTTTGCTCTGCTTCCTAGCTTCAGTGTATTTGTGGTTTCTTTGAACTGTATTGTTTTCTCTTCATGATTTAGCATTTTCTAGACTGGCTGTTTAATGGGAGACAATGGTTCTGAGCCTGAGTAGAGCCAACCTCAGATGAGAAACTAGTTATGGAAACCCTATACAACAGATAATTTGTAGGTCAGGAAGTAAAAGTTGACTGTCTGTGGATCAACTATCAAAATCATTTAGCTCCCGGTACTCTGAATACAAATTCTCCTTCCAAGATACCAATGACAGCAAATAGATCAAAAACTTAACTGCAGGTCAGCAACACCATGACCAGAGAAGGTGGGCATATCTTTTCCCAGAGGACAGCAAGACTTCTCATTTAGCCCATTATTTGCCTTCTACTTCTATTCCGGCCCCAATTCATAGTACCCAGGGGCCTGAAAGGGTATGCTAGAGTCTCGCTTAGAGCCACGGCTCACTAAATCTGTGCGATGTTTTTCAAAGCACGAAATTCATGCCCTGGCATTAATTTATTTACCCATAACTAAAGTCACCATATTTTCTGAACCTCAAATTGGGCCATATGGTCTGATATGTATTAGCATACTTTTCACGAAGAAGATACTGTAAGAAATTGGGACTGCTATGGAAACAGAAAACTGAGTCAGAAATATATCACAGTCCTAATCTTAATTTACATTTCAGAAGTGCACATTCCCATTTACTGCAAAAATAGCTCTGCTTACTTCAATCTTGAACACAAAACACTCCATCAACCTTCTTTCACACAGGAATACTGATCCCCATACTAGAAAGTAGGACTGTCTTCTAACCTGTGGTGGTTACATTGGTCTGGAAGACCCTGCACTTTGAGTCAAGGAAGGCCTGACAGGCAGGAAAACCAAGAGGTACCTTTTGTCCACACCAAATGTCCCGTGCAGAATTCAGAATGACTTTTGGGTCAGGAAGATTCCCTGGAACAGGCCCCTTTGTCACTGAATGACAACCCATAATCGTTCTAAACTCTATCAATAAAAAAAAAGAAACATATAAAGAGGGATGTTATACTCTGCATCGTGCACATGAGCACATCACACGTTGCCTTAAAGACGTAGACGGAACCTAGGTGTGTTTCCCCTTTACCTAGGAACACCTGCAATGCGGGTGCTGAAGATGCTGCCCAATCCCCCAAATCAACAACAGTGGGGGCACCACTGCCGATTCTCTTGAGACCTGTTTATGATTACAGTGCAATTAAAAACAATCTCCCCCTGGTTAACGTTGACTTTCTAAAAAATGGAAGATATACATCTTAACTCAGAGTGTTTTCCCTAGATATTTCTTATTCATATATTAGATTGTATTTAACACATGCTTAACGAACACATTTTCACAAAGCTTCAGCCACTCTATTTCAAACAAATTCGACAAGGAAAGCAGCGGCACTTGTGAAATACTACATGTGTCTAAGCATAAAACGAGTCCCTGGCACAGGTCAGAACACTGTTTACTGACAAGACTGTACTATAAGAAAGCAAGAAACCAAAATGTTTACTTACCAACTTCTACCATATGTATTCAACTGAAGACTGAGGAGTTATTTTTTTATTAAGCAAATCCCTTCCCTTTAGAAGTTGTTAGAATAAACAGCTTCAAAATACATCCTATTCATTCAGCTTTACATTTTAAAATCTCAATCTCAAACTCTTGGTTCTACATTTAACCTAACAGTGTGATTTTATTTATTTTTTTATTTTTTATTTTTATTTATTTATTTTCCCCCCAAAGCCCCAGTGCATATGCACATCCTTCTAGCTGCTGTATGTGGGACGTGGCCTCGGCATGGCCGGAGAAGCAGTGCGTCGGTGCACGCCCGGGATCCAAACCCGGGCCGCCAGCAGCGGAGCATGCGCACTTAACCGCTAAGCCACGGGGCTGGCCCTAACAGTGTGATTTTAAAACTATTTTATTCCTATCACTTAACTATAAAATGAAGGCGGGTCTGACTTGAGGGATACTTAGAAATATCAAGCGAGTCTAACACTTCCTTCAACTCCACAGAATTTTGGTGCTAGAAGGAATCAAGTGATAATGTAGCCCAATCACCTGATTTTACACTTAAAAACAGCCCTGAGAATCAAGGAGGTGAAGTGACACGCCTATGGTCAACAAGCCGGCTCTCGCCTCCTAGATCAGCTGTCATTCCTCAAGTGCCCATTCGCTCCATTTCACAGAAATTAAAAGGAATATTTAGTCCTCCTCTCTTCTCCATAACTGTTATGTATAACTGTTTCCTTTTCAAGCATTTGCAAGAGAGAACAATGCATCCACCCTTGAAAAGACTCTGATTGGGATGACCCTCAAATATCGTACTTCTGGTAACATTTACTATCATCTGAAAAGCAACTACAAGATCCCAGATCCCAGGAATCCAAATCTTTAAATGAGTCGCTTCTATTTTATCTTACAACCAAATTCGTATGGTGGCCTCTAAGAAGATACAGTTTCCTAAATCAGTTACAAATAGCCCTGGAAGCATATTTCTCAGTACAAAATTTTCACAAATGGTACTAAAGCACTTTGTGCAGCTTTGACTTGGAAAAATGCTATAACTCCACAGCAGAACTGAGGACTCCACCTGTGCACACTCTCTAGAAGAGGAGTGTTCCACACAGAAGTGCCCTGTACAGGGCATAAATCTTCCTTCTCAGTGTGGAATCAAGATCCAGACAGCCTAAAATAAATGCATCTTGCAGGAAAAAACAAACAAACAAACATACATTTAGTGATCACCTGACAATATTTGGTTTGGAAGCCCATGACTGTCTCTTCTTGACCCTTGTACCCTTAAGAAAACCATGTGAGATAAACGAAAACCCAGGATCCCCAAGAGACTATATTTCCTGGATTCTCAGAATTATCAATTCTAATACATATCAATTAAATTTAATTTAACTGTTCAGATTTAAAAAGGAGGTGTTGTAGAAACAATGAAACACAATACGTTATTCCTTCCAAACACATTCAAATCATTGTTATTGCTATTATAGAAGGCTCAGTGTACACCCGATGCTGGAGAACATTCGAACGGTTTTAAGATATAATCTGACCTAGTTGGGGACAGCAAAAGATGCACGGTGCTGCGTCCAGAGTCAACTTGGTATATCACAACATGCCTGGGATCTTCCCCCACAAGAAGAAACTTCCCCCAAAAAGAAGAAGCAATTATTCAATGATAGGCTATCTTGTGTCTGCAAATCAACTTCTTTTAACAGCTCAAAATTAAAGGAATTACCCATGATTTCCACAAGATCCTAACAAAGCAGATGTCGCTCATAGGTTCTCAACCTCTTTTTCTCCCAGAGGGAGATGAAGCGATGTAGACACCACATCAGGCATTGGCATGGAACTCGACATCTCAGTCTTCACAGCTCTCACTGGCTTTCCTCAACAGCTCTGGGACGTCACACATGCTTTATGGCGCCCTCTTTTTACTAGGAGGAAATTGGGGCACAGAGATTAACAGAGTGACTTTTCCAAATGACCCAAATAGCCTTTCCCCCGTCTAATGCTTGTTACACGTTTGCTCCAAATCCAAAATATATTATAACGCCATCTTTGAAGTCTTGTTACAAGATGGCATTTCCTTATTTTCTCACTCTCTACTGTCCCCTAGAGACCTTTGTTCTGCACTTTCAGACCTGACTCCCCTGTGGCTGCTTCTCATTCTCCCAGAGTTGTTCTCTGAGGAGGTGTGGCTCTGCAAAGTCCTGGGGAAGGCATGGGGGGAAGAGTGAAGCTTTGCTTTCAGACCTAACACTGGACTTACTTTGAATTTCAAATATCATTAAAGGAGAGGTAAGATTTACATTCTTATCAAATGATGGCCTGGGATTAAAAAGCCGAAGACAAGCTATTCTAGGTCTTTTTTTTTCTTTTAGTTCACAGTTGTCAGAGTTCATTATGTGCTACGATACTCTAGGTAGTATTTTTTTCCAAACCTCAGGACAACTATCTTATAAAGAACAGGGTTGAAGAAACAGTGGAGAATAAGGCCTCTTACACATTCTGAGTTTGCTAACCCACATCTCATTGTGACTTAATAGTCAAGTCCCATCATTGGCTGTTACCTCACATTCTAGAACCTCGTCGTGAGTTAAACGCAGTTACGTGTGTCATAAATTCCTTTAATCAAAATGATAATGATGGTGATGTTGAAACCAAACGTTTTGACGCAATTCTTTTTTATATCAATTTTAGCAAATAGAACGCTAAATTCTGAGATGGACCCCACACTCTGCTCTTAGGGAGCTGCACAAAGGAACAAACTTAATAAATCCAGCATTTATGTCGCACATTTAATAGAAAGCTCTGAAGCCACAATCACTGTAGCTGCTGGGCATCTCACGTCTTCCAGAATTCTTTCAGTGCATGCATTACCTTTGGTTAAATTATTCTGGATTTAAAGGCAGAAGAATATTTAAAATAGTATGGTTTCAGAAGCATCATTGTAACAGACCAATTTCAAAAGATTCAGTTGCTAAATTTGACTTCATAGTCCCTTTGCACATCAGTTATTTAGACTTAAAAAGAGAAGGGAGTCATGTGCTGTTATCTCTGTGGCCATTAGTCTCACACAAAGAAAAGAAGAGAACAATATAATAAGACTAAGAAATCATTCTTCCAATGATTGTCATTGAACTGTTACATTAGTAAACATTCACAGTATGAAGTGTCTCTCAATCTCCAGCATTTAAAGTAGTGCAAAGGAAAGAAAAACCAAACATTCCAGTCCTGGTATCTGTGAACAAAACTTGTTACATTTTCTCCCATTTCATTTCTTCCATATTGTTAGGCATTTGCTGTCCTATCTTCCCAAAATTAATAATAAAATATAATCAATTTCTAAAGGCCCCTGCAGCCTTTTTAAAAGTTAATTTCCAGTTAAAAATAAACTTTAATTAAATCCATGATAAAACTGTGACCTATATTCTATTAAATAATTCACTTTCTTTTTTTTTCTACATAGTAATTCTCACAATTTTTAAAAAACAACAACTATGGAATCCAAAGACGTGAGAGGCTATAAAAGCACTGAAAATGACTGCTCGAGTTCATCAGTTCTTACATAGTAAATACTCAAAATGCCAACTTTTCCCATCACTGCACAATTACTAACAACGTTGACAATTTATTTACACACACACACGCACGCAGCACGCACGCACACAAACACGTTCTCTCCATGGAACCACCTTTATGTTTAACATCTTTTCCAGTTAATGTGCAAAATTCTTGCATTCTAATAAAAAATATAAAGATAGATTTGCTCCTATTTAAGCCTCCCTCTTCTCCAAGATGTATCATTTATTTGATATGTAAGACAAGTTTAGTAACAATTATGCCATGTATAACCATTAAATGGCGTACTACTGTATGCGTTGGCTTCATTTGCATATTTCATTTTCATAACTGCACTCTCTATGCATAAATATATTTGGAGATGCTGGGGATGGGGGAGGGACTGTGGCGGGCGGAGAGCGAGATTCACACGTCGGTCTCCACAGCCTTCACATTAGAACAGTTGTTTTTATCTGTCTCACTGTCATCCTCCTTTCCCTGACACTTCTCCTCCTTTGCACAGAGAGATTCCTTAACTCCTTCCTCCATCTCTAGATACTCTGACTTGTCCCCCAGGGAAGAAGAAGTAGAGCTCCGGAATTTCTTCAGCAGATTGGAAGGGAGGTACGGGCAACTAACTGCATTCTGTGTCAGCTGTGTCTGCTCCTCGTTCTCAGTCTCTCTGTGGTAGAAGTAGTTGAAGTTGGAGACAATGACGGGCACAGGCAAAGCGATGGTCAGGACACCCGCAATGGCACACAGGGACCCCACGATCTTGCCCCCCACAGTGATGGGCTTCATGTCCCCATAGCCCACAGTCGTCATGGTCACCACAGCCCACCAGAATGCATCTGGGATGCTTTGGAAATGGGTGGTAGGTTCATCCGCCTCCGCGAAATACACAGCGCTGGAAAACAGGATGACCCCGATGAAGAGGAAGAAGATCAGGAGGCCCAGTTCCCGCATGCTGGCTCTGAGGGTGTGGCCCAGGATCTGCAGGCCCTTGGAGTGTCTGGAAAGCTTGAAGATCCGGAACACTCGGACCAGCCGGATGATCCTGAGGATGGCAAAGGACATGGCCTGCTGCTGCTGACCGTTGCCCCCGCCCTGCTGCTGGGCCAGATCGGTGCCCAGTGTGATGAAATAAGGCAAGATGGAGACAATGTCAATGATGTTCATGATGTTCTTGAAGAAGAGTGCTTGGCTGGGACAAGCAAAGCAGCGAACCACAAACTCGAAGGAAAACCAAACAATGCAGACCGTCTCCACGATGAAGAAGGGGTCGTTGAAGATAGTGTGCCCCGAGTTCTCCGGGGGGGGTGCCGAGGTGTCATTCAACGACCCGCTGTGCCCACCCGCACTCAGGGCCATGATGAGATCCCTGTCGTCCCTAAACTCAGGCAAGGTTTCCAGGCAGAAAATGACAATGGAGATTAAGATGACCAGGACGGAGACGATGGCTATGCCCCTCGCGGGGCTGGAGCTCTCCGGATACTCAAAGAGGAGCCAAATCTGCTTCTTAAACTCGTTCTCCGGCAAGGCCCTGTCCTCCTCCTCTCTCACAAAGCCCTCGTCCTCCCGAAACTTGAGCAGGGCCTCCTCCCCCAGCTGGTAGAACTTCACCTCCTCAGTGAAGATGTCACAGGGCACGTTGACCGGCCTCTTCAGGCGGCCTCCCGACTGGTAATAATATAAGATGGCATCAAAGCTAGGCCTGTTCCTGTCAAAAAAATACTCGTTCCGCAAAGGGTCAAAGTACTGCGTCCTCTTCTCAGGGTCCCCCAGCAGCGTCTCCGGAAACTGGGCCAGGGTCTTCATCTGGGTCTCGAAGCGCAGGCCGGACACGTTGATGACCACGCGCTCGCAGCAGTCACTGTAGCGCACGGCGCTGTAGGCCCCGCCGGCGCCGTCCTCCTGGGGCAGCAGGTCCGTGTAGGAGCACTCGTCCCCGCGGGCGTCCTCGCTGCAGCAGATCCTGCCCTCCTCCTCCTCGTCCTCCTCGTCCTCGTCCTCGTCCTCCTCCTCCTCGCTCAGCTCCCTCAGGATCTTCTCCTCAGAGCCGCTGGGCATCAGGTCGGAGCAGTGAGGGAAGCCGCTCTGGCGGTGGTGGACCCTCCTCTTCTCCGGCCGCGGCGGCCGCCTCCTGCGACTGCCCCGGCCGCTCGGAGGCTCCTGCGGGGGGCAGGCCGCCCGCGCC